AAACTCATAGATTTGGCCAACTTCACAGTTTCCCTTGAATTTATTACTGGATCCCTTATAGCGAGAATCCAGCTATAACGGACATTTTGCTCCGGTCCCTCCCTCTCGTTATAACAGGATTCCACTGTTCATGAACTCTGATTGATCATTTTTCAGGCAACATGTGACCAGAATAATTATGATGTACTGACCGCTTCTTTACAACTGCAGGTGAAAATAAAGAGAGAAGCACTGAAAAAAAGTAAAACCCATGAAAGTGATGGACCTGGCATTCTTAGTAACTTACACTAAGACAGAAGAAACCTGATACAGAAGTATTATTAATATGAAATATGCTTACAAAATGAGTTACTTCTCGGACTCAAGTCTGATATTTATAATAGATACACCATGCTTATTGGTGAAGTTTTTATAATTTATAAGTATGAAGTAATAAAAGAAATGTTATAGTTAAAGAATATTATGGTATCACTAAAAAATTTACAAATTTGACCCTTGTGTCGATTTTGGACCAATATGTCGATTTGTGGATTGCGAGACTTTTGTCAGCACGTTTCACTTTGCTTCATGAAAACAAACATTACATAATACAGTGAGATTCCCATGCAACATGGCCTGCAAAAGCCTGTGGTGTTAGGTTGGTTTTTCTCCAGTGCACATAGACGACAAAAAATCTTAGTTCTCAGAAAGAGTTTTACGGCACTTGCCACACAATGAGGTCCTATATGTGCTAAATATTAAGGGTGTTACGGGAGAGTAACAAACAAAAAAAGAGGAGGAGATATCCGGACGATTTATGTTTGATATGAAAGAAGGGGCAAACCAAATCATAAAACCCACAGACATGAAATCAATGCCTGCATAAGAAAAATGATATTCTATCAAATACATGTACTGTATTTGTCTTAATCCAGGGATGAACATGTATCCCACTGTAGTTGCGAGCGCCGTTAAACACATACCAAAACAAAACAAAAAAAACATTTTTTTAAAAATATAGTAGAGGGTTTTACCGCGCTCGCAACTGCATAAGGTCATATGAGCGCCAAGGGGTGGGTGTCAACAGAGAAGTCTTTACAGGGAATCAGACTTAGACTGCTCACCTCTCTAGCTTCAACAGCACAAGGTCTCCTTCGACTATCAAGGCACCCCGGAAATAACGGGTCACAAGGGAGTGACAAACATACAAAAGAAGTGGAAGAAAATGACAATAGTAAGGATCAGGAAAGAAAAAGCAGCAGTTCCCTGTTGTAGATCAGGCACAGTTATGAGCCTGACATGAGTCAGCCCAAAATGTATCCCAGAAACTATACAAACATTCATAACAATAGAACCATATGAAACATTATGAAGATGAGTAAGACTAGTAAGAGCATCAATATTTTCTGATATAATATGTTTATTCCTTTTCTTCTGACTAGGATAACGACCAATATGAATTTTTATAAAGATAACATAAACATCTCCATCTCATTCTTCCTGCTCCCTTCCAGACTCTCGAGTATATTAACAAATTTTTAATGAAAAGTACTTCACCTGAAAATCAAGAACTTTCCATCAACATAAACAACATAATAACAGGTATTCATTGAGTAGTTTCACAACGCTCGAGAAGGAAAAAAATCCTTAAAAAAGAATGTGTGCATCATAAAAAACAAGGGTATAATATCTTCACACTGAGGTATAGGCATGTACACACAAACAAGTGGTGTACCAAAATCAACAAACATAAATGCAGTTCTGTGAACAAACAACAAAAAAAGGCTGATGATCCCAGAGCCTAAAAGTTCAGCAGTCCAAAACCTAGGGAGAAGGCATCAGTGCAGGGCCAAACCCGACTTTGGACGATGGATACAGTGACTTTCTTTTTGTTTGACATGCATGCCCATCCTTTTCAAAGATAACGCCTCACACATTTTTCCCTGTTCCTTGTTGTACAGATTTAGGCCCATGCCTTTTTATAAAAGCTTCAGAACTAGCCACAACGTGGCTTTCTAAGTTATGAGCACACTTCTTTTTCTGCTTTGTCGGCTTTTTGATTTAAAAATGACAAACATTAAATAGCGTTGAAAAATTTCCAGTTCACTACATTCCTTAAAGATATTGAGTAAATAAAATGAGAATAAAATTTGTCAGGATTTGATCAATTTCTCAACAGTGGCTGTACTCAGGGAAAAAGTCCTGTTCCGGTACAAAAGCTATGAAGGTAAATAGGTATGCTCAGATTTAAAAAAGGAATGATCTTGTTTGAACTAATCAGATTAAACTCTAGATACAACCATGGCCTCACGAATAAAGAGAGTTCACTCATAATTGTGGTTGTGTTACTTTACCTCTTCTTCTTCTACAAAATTGATAATAAAAGAACACGGCAAAATGTTATGAAAAAAAAGGGATTTAGCACTTCTTGCACAAAAGAAAATAATATTGATAATCAGATAATAATCAGAACGGAAATCATTTAGGAGGCAGGCTGCTTAACCTTGCCTCCCAAGGCCAAACACGGCTTTGTGGGATATTATGCCACAACAGAAATATGTGAGCAATAGATAAAATAAGAGGAGGAAAATCGGTCGGGTAGTTTCCGTCTTGTGTGTCCACACAGTTCAGAAAAGACACGTCTAGTCTGTTGGCCTACTTATTCCCCGGATGTGTACGCTTGACCGCTGTCGAGGCGGGCTGTGCTCTCGGTACGGAGCTATAAATAGTCAACATCTCATATGAACTCAAGGCGGGAAAAAGAAATGTATGGGTTTTAATTGTTAATATGCATTTAAACCACATGGTTGTGGCGCAGATATGCTAATTTTGAGGTGGTGATTGCAAATATGACATTAGATTTTTAATTCGAACTCAAAATTTGAATTTTTTTTTCCGCTCTAACGGGGCCTACCGCTGATGAGTCACCCGCCGGCCCGGCTAAAATGCAGCAAGCGGCTTTCCAACAGACACGTCTTTCGTTGGGACGTGTCGTGTCGTGTCTGTTGACACAGCCAAATGGAATTTTAACTGATTTCTTAGAGAAAAAAAACAGTGCTCAATTTCAACCACCGACTTTCAGAGATACGGTCAGAATCAGGTCGGTTGGTTTCAGTCCCAATGGACACAAGCCCTTGGCCCAACATGGGAATCAATTTCACATCTTCAGCACACAGGTCAAGCAGCCTAACAATTACACTGTTGACAATGATAATCAAAACTTGTAATAAAAACAAGGCTATGTGATTCATGAAAATGAAAGTGATCAGAATCAAATCAATAAAAAACATTACCATCACCTATTTTCCAAATAATTTTTATGTTTCCTGTTTGATTTCTTTCTTGAATCATAACAATAAGATACCACGTTGACACATGTTCTAGTCTACATAATTAACAAATATCCAGCCCCAAATCAGGATACAGGAATTTAAAAATGCTAACTAGGTAACAAATACATTATGTATCCCTCAAACTGTGTTCACAAAAAATGCAATAATGTGCGGGTATACTAAGCAAATTCAGTGTATCATCAAGTAGTATTTAGTAAACGGGTGAGAGGTAGGTACCAGAAACCATACATTTGAACTATCCGAGGCACAAAATCAAGGGACATAACACAATCTTATCCAATGCTCAGTCGATATTGTATACTCTGTCGATTCTCTTGATAGAAAAAACGACACATTTTCTTCCAGACATTTTTCTTATGTTTAATGGAGAAACCCAAAATCAAAACTAACTTTCAAAGTAGTTTGAATATCATCACGGTCAGATGGAATGAACAGTATAAACCTTATGAGTGCAAAACCACATTTGATTTGTTTCAGTAGTTTTACAGCTCACTCATGCAAGCCTATCCAATCAAATACAAATGACAGTGCATGCAAGAAAAAGGATTCAACTAAATTCAAAAGGCACTGCAACAGAGACCATAATTAACTTATTAAGCCAACTCATTGTTCGGCAATTTGCCATGCTCTTCGGCCTTGAGGGGAGAGGTAGCAGCAGAAACGATTATCGAGTCGTGATGACAAACACACACACGCGCTCCTCGTGGTCCCCTCACTGTTTCTTCGCGGAACTGAGAAACTGTGTTGTCCAACTGTATTTTGATTGGCTCTATAAGAAAATGAATTTTCATACGAAGTATCACGCATGTGAAACATCTGACTAATATGATAATGTGCATGTGAAAAATCAATGCGGCCGTTGCATTTATGCAGCACTTCAACTCAAGTGTATTTACGTCCAAGTTGAATACAACATAACAGTTTGACATTTGACAATACATGGTAAAAAAAAAAAGAGGCGCTGGGACCTGAGAAAAAGATCAACTCGACTGACAATCAACTGAAGCAAATTCAATACAAGTAGAGTCATCTGCACAATATTAAATTAACTTGATCTGACTTTTGACCAAGAATTACAAAACCTGAAACAATCAAAATTATTTACAAACTCTAAGGTGCTTGAAAACTATGCCAAACTGTTTTCATAATGTCACAGAGTTGTAGGAAATCTTATAACATTCCTGAAAGTGTATGATTTTTTGGTAGTTTCATCAAAAATCGTATTAGTATTAGTTATGACTATTTGCTGAGAAATAAAAACATCTGACAATACAAATTTGAAATGAAACCTGCAATACACAACAAGGAAAGTCGATATAAAAATGTAAAAACAGTAAAATAATTGTATTCCATGCTATATAAAAGGTAAAATAATCATTAAGAACTTAATGTATAAACTAACTGAGGTGTGTGTGGAGATGGTTTTTGATGCAGTTTTAACTTTACTTGTCATCCTGAGCCCATCCATGTTTCTGCCCATTCAGATTGGTTGCACATTGAACACGTGGCTCGCATGGCAAATGGCTTCCTCTCCTATCAAACCCGTATTTTATTGTGGGAAGTGCTATAAATCTTTTTGGTTTAGAAACTGTGATACAATCTACTGGTTACTTCCTGCCACTGCTTCTTGGGTGAGTTTGAGTTCATGTTTATACTCACCCTGTGAACTTTTGGGAATTTTTGTTTTTTTCTGTACAAAGCATTTGTTAAAATTTGTGGTTTATGAAGAAAGAAAAATAGCAAATGGGGGGGGGGGGCTCACAACTTGGTGGAACATTTTTAGATATTAGATATTTGTTTTTTCACAAGAAAAAAATTACATCAAAGTTATCCTGGCTGAAATCAACAGTTTCATCACAAACACTAATCCACCTACATTTTTCAACACACCTTTGTTTATCTGGTTCCTTTCATTCCAAGCTACCTCTAGATCCAGATCAATCGTCCTATCAACATCGTAATCCAAATCTGAATCGCATATTTCCAAGTCATCATGAGGCAAAGAAAAGTCATCATTGGAATCACTTACATCAAAGATACTTTCAAAAACATTCCTGTCATAATTTGTAGTATTTCTCCACGAAGGTCCAAGATTAGATTAATTCAATTTGTCAAGGATAGCATGGAACTTTCTATGACTGTGGAAGCAACATTCAATAAAGTACGCCTTTTAAAACGAAACACAGTTTGAGGGTAAAACTGCAATGCTCAGTGACTGAAAAGAGTAACTAGAGTATTTTCATTCTCTAAATATCATGAGCTCTGTTTGCTGCCTACACTAAAGCAAAATACATCTCAAAACTCATCCAACAAGCTATTTGATAAAAGTCAAGTTGGGAACAGGCTTTAGTCTCTCCTTATGCGTTTAGCAGGTGGGTGAAAGAGCCCTTTTCTGTCGGTTGCAGCCTGCAAACAAACAAACAAATTCACTTTTGCACACATTAGAAAAAGAATATGAAAATGCTCTTGGAGACTTGCTACATGCAGCAAAACATTAATTGAAACTAGTGGTTTTTCTGGTGGGAACACAGAACCATCAAATTCTTTTTGTGTCTATCAAAAGGCAAAAATCTAAATAGAGGAACTACAGAAAACTCAAGGTAACAGGCTGGATAGTATAACCACCTTCCACAAATCAGCAAAACCAGCATTTATATCATCACAAGAACCTTTGTTCCCCCCCCCCCCCTTTATAACCACTATTCCTATTTCACAGTAACATACTTTTAGTAGGTATCCCAAACCCCTATCTCTGCGCAGCTGAAAGCGTGAAGGAAGCTCGAAATTAGACCATTTTTAATCACCCATAACTCATATCCTTTGACACCAATCTTCACCCCGTTTCGAACTCAGTCAGTTCAACTATTGTTTTTAGCTCAAATCAAACTTGAGATATTGTATAGTAAGCTATTTAAAAAGGTCACCAAAATGCTAGGGAATGCACTTTTCGCAGCCATTTTAATGCCGGCCACGGCGACATAAATCGAGGGTGCTTCATAAAATGCCTTCGCGCTAAGCGGTTATGACTGATATCGTCAAGAAACAAAAAATGCAAGAACAAACTTTGAATAAGCTTTCACACAGTACCAAGCGCTTGTTGTTAAAGTAAGTTGTTGACCCAGAAATATCAGGAGTTTTGGAACCTAATTTTAGAATGGAAAACTCCAAGCCTGACCAACGATCGGTCGAAAGAACCCTGGACTACACAAAAGTAGAACATGTCAAGGGAATCGTGTGCACAAATGACTACTATTGGTCCAACAGCCGTTTAGCGCAGTTTGTTTTTATAAACACACATGCTTGTCCTCTCTCTGGCGACACGCTTGATTCAGCAATGGCGAAGAATTGTTTACGTGCCCGTATTTTCGATTACGCTCTAATCACGTACATAAGTGCATTTCAAAGGCTGCAGTGTGCTTTCAGTCATTGATATGGATATTCTGGAGATATGTGGTAAGTTGATTTTGTTAATTAGATTTGTTATAGTGTTACATAGTTCTTCATAAAGTCATCAACCTTTGCCTGGCCTAGATCTATGGCTTGAAGCCGAGATCGCAAACATGCGAACGAGTGGTCTCAATCAGAGTGTCCTGTTATTAATTCATTACCCAGTATTGTTGTAAATCTGGTTTGGATAGAAAGATAAGAGGCTTAAATTTCTTGAAAATATGGTGAAATCTAAATCAATTTGCTTCTAGTCATTCAAAATTAGAGTAATTTTCTGGTCACGTGACCATTTCTTTCTATCGATGATTCTGCAATGGTGACCTGTTTTTAAAGATCATAACAAGCTTGATGAACTCGTCTGTGAAGGGGGTGCAGCTGGCATTTGTTCATTGATGAAAGAAAATATTCTCTGGAATATCGCAAATAACTGACAAAATCTTTGATGACTAATTCATTTAATTGTTTTCTTTTCACCGATATCTATTTAGACTCATGAAACAAGTACCGGCACCAATTGAATTATATTTTATACAAAACTTTTAGAGGCTGGTTTACTGTTGAAAATGGACTCTCCTACTTGAGAGCTTCATTCATCATAATTCATAATTATCAAATAAGTCAGTGCCTTTAGAATAGCTAGATATATTCCTGAATAGACCCAATTTTTTAAAATTAATAAATATATAAGCCATGAGGAATTTGAACTTTGTTGCAGATCTAATGTGTCTCCTCCACCCTCTCCCCAATAGTCCTGGCCTTTGATTTGCCGGAGCTTCTGCCCAATTTTTTATTTTTTGGGGAAAAAATCGTTTTGAGATTTTATTTAATGGCTATGCGCTTGCTGGTGCTTCTTCCCATTTTAAAAAAAGTAATTAGACTTGAGAAGTTTTTGCGTGCGTTAGTGTATCTGATCTGTCATTGTTGAATATATACTTTATTAATACCTCATTTAATCACAGAAATGGATTCCTAGCCCAAAAACACATAGGAGTAGAGCTTTAAGGAGTCTTTATTGTTGTTCTATAGAAGTTAGAGATGACTTTGTTGAAATTATGCTGAATAATTTCTAATTTTTTCTCTTATCTAACCTCACGTCATTGTAATGCTTCATGTTATCACAGAAATGATAACAGAAATGCATTCCTGGCCCAAAAGTACATTGACATGGAAAGTTTCATTCATTTACCATGTTTTTTGGTGACTTTATTCAGAAAAGTTTTCAGGCCATGAGTACCGTGTTGTGATGTTCTATTTATAGCGCAACATTGGCCGATTTCCCATTTTTGTGGTTGCATGACTGATTAAATTGAAGTGCCAGAAATCTGAAAGAAAATTGGGCTATGAATTTGCATTACTGTGAATATGTTCTGTAAGTGTCATTTCTTTTCAGCAATAACTTTCCATTTTATTGATGTCTGAAATCAGTCTTTTTAGCATTTTTGAATGAACATTATGCATCAAGGGGTAATTTTTTCCCCATTTTAAGTCTCTGTATTGGCTTTATTTAAACTCTGACTGTCCTCATCTTATTATTCTGACAATGACAATGACAATCTTTATTCATCTCGCAGGGAGAAATATGTCTTGGTCGTTAACATGGGCAGTAGATGTTACAAAAGTTAGACTTAAAGGTGCACTCACACAAACGCACAACAAGACAGGACATTAGGCTAAGTAAATACATGTCTCACAAGCTGGGACAACCCGTTCCATAAAACATTCTCTCTCTCTCTCTCTGTTTCATTTGTAGCACTGTGTATTCAGTAACCTCACTGCAGTTAGTACAAAAGAATTTCTATATCTGTCTGTTCTTGCTTTTTTGGAAATGTATCGTTTACTGTGGGTCAATAGTTGAAATTCCGATGTCAGTGGGTGGCTATGGTCATTAAGCATTATTTCCGCCTTTTTTAGAACGTTTGTCTGTTGCAGATATTCAAAGTTACTAAGGTCTTCACCAGTTGTTCTTGATGCCTTTCTTATCAACTTGTTTATTTTTATAATGTGCTGCCTTCCCAAACTGTTACCATAACAAGTGATACCAAAATTTATCAAAGTTTCTATTGTGGAGTAAATATCTGAAGGATGGATGGATTCAGATTGAAAGACCTAAGTTTCCTCAGAAAGTACAGCCTCGGATTTACCTTTTTAATGATATTGTTTACATGGTTTTGCTATGTAAATTTGTTGTCGGTTGTAAGATCAAGATATTTGATGAATCAGTGATTTCAATTGTTTCTTGTTCAATTACGAGTGGTGAGATTGTTGGTTTTTCTCTTCTAAAATCAAAAATCATTTCCTTTGTTTTTGAGAGGTTCACTTTTAGAAAATATTTGAATTACAATTTAAAAAACATACATATTTCTTCAAAATACTCTTTTTCATCAAGGTTTATTAATCCAATAATAGCTGTGTCATCTGCAAACTTAATTAAGCGTGTTGTTTTATACATACTTCTATGATCGTTGGTATATATAGTATAAAAAACTGGTGACAAAACACACCCCTGAGGACCGCCTTTAGCTTCACATATTGTGGTCTGCCTGTCAAAAATTCCAGGACCCATGCTGCGATATGATGACTAACTCTCCGACTCAGAAGTTTTTCAATGACAATATGCGGTTGAATTGTATTAAATGCTGAGGAAAAATCAACAAAAAGTACCCTCGTATACCGTTTAGATGTTTCAAGGTGTTTCAGTATAGAGTCACAAAAAACAAGTACAGCATCTTCTATGTTCCTCTCTTGTTTGTATGCAAACTGGAATGGATCTAGATTTCCATGAACACAACCTAGAATATTTGAAAAGATCAATTTTTCAAGGCACTTGAAATCAATGGATGTAAGAGCGGCTGGTCTTAAGTCATTTAATTTTCATATATTTTAGGCTTTTTTGATATTGGTATTACCTTCGATGTTTTCCATATTGTAGAAATGTAGTTTTTGTGTGGGGTCAGGTTAAAAATGAAGGTAAATATCAGGGTCAGTTGCTCACAACAAGTTCTTAACACTCTCCCTTTCACTCCGTCTGGACCACAGGCTTTGTTTATGTTTACACTTTGAAATTTCTTTTTAATACTCCGCTCACTGAGCTCAACACACTCCTCCTTGCTCAACTCGTCTCTCAGCCTTTGTTCAAGTTCACGTTGCTCATTTTCAAAATCAAAACAGTCGAAACGACAATAAAAGTTGTTTAGCTCATTTACATAGTCTCTTTCATTTTTTACTTGCACACTCTCTCGCTGCAGTATAAACCGTTATTTTTTTCAAAGAGGACCACATATTTCTCATATTGTTTGTCTGAAATTCGCTCTCAATTCTAGTTTTGTACGCTTGTTTACAATGAGCAATCTTTCTTTTAATTTTTTTAGATATATCAAAAAAATTTCATTCATGTTATTATTTCTAACGGCTTTCCCTTTTTCTTTTATAAGATCTTTCAGTTCTTTCGTTACCCATGGCTTATTATTTGGATAGTACGTAAGGGTTTTATAAAAAATAACAGTTTCTTCACAAAACTTAATGTAAGCACAAATGGTTTCAGTAAGTTCGTCAAGGTCCTTGCAAGTGTCTTTGAACATGTCCCAGTATGTAGAGTCGAAGCATCGTTTATGCTGGCACGAGTTGAAACAAATGATAATACACACTTCATCTCAATAAATTTTCTGTGAAGTCACAAAATCGCACTGTTTTTAAAGTTGCAAAAAATTTACGACGTCCACGAATTTCAAACGCCTGTCATCTTTTTTATTTATTGTCCGATTTCTATACTTCAAACACCAAAGTTCATGGTTCGCATAGTCCTTAATGATGCAAAAAACAAATGTTGGATCATAGCACTTTGAAATTTTGGTTTGTGGTACCTACTTTTAGACAGTCAATAATTTTAAATGAAAATATAGGTAGTAAGTTTTTTTCTTATGCTAAATACTCTTTAAATTCATTCATTTTTTTCTGAAAATGGGAACTATTTTCTCTATATTCGTTTCTTTAGTTTCTTTCTTTTCCCTCCAAGCACAAAATAAGAATCACTTATATGGCACAAACTAACTCTCAATGAACAATACAATGAAACAAATGCAAAAGACACTCACCAGTTCTGATTGCTGTACTCCACACCGAACGCGTCAAACATGTGGAATGTGTAAGCATGTCGTGACCTGGTAGACAAGTTCGGCTCACTCTTGTGGACAACTTCCCCATGGATGAGGGCCAGAGAGCCTTGAAGAGAGAGATGGAGACGTCAAACATTAACCTCTTCGAGACACAGGGTCAGTTTGTTGATTCACCGGGGACAGTTTTGGATCCCCGAGGACAAAGAGCAGCACTAGATTTAGCAGTCAGTTGCGCATAATTAGACCTGGTTTGTACAAGTGGAACTCAGATTCAACAAAGACGTCAGGCCTGGCCTTCAAATTTGTTTAATCCGAGTGTTCGTTATAGCTTTCTTCTTCTTCTTCTTCATCGTTCTCAATGACAACAGCTAGACAGTCAGTCCGATGTCGCGCACAAACTGTGCAGTTCGCTTCAGATCTGCCATAGAGCTTTCTCTTAAGGTTAAGGGGAGTCACACTCTGCCACATCTGAGTACGAACGGCGGCGTAGCGCGGGCAGTGCTGAAGGATGTGGTTGGCATCCTCTTGGTCGTGTCCACATTTACAGATCGCTGACTTTCCCACTTTTAACTTGATGTGCATATGGTGTTTGAGTCTGTTGAGGCCACAACGGAGTCTAAAGATTGTGACCTGGTCTGCTCTATTTAGTATGTAGTATGGGTATCGTTATTAGGGATGGGCAGGTACCGGTACCCAGTACCGGAACACCCGGTTGTACCGAAGGAAGTGTCAGTACCGGCACCTGGCCTCCAGTACCGGCTCTGGGAAGGAGCCGACACCTAGACGCTCAGAGAGTAAAAACGTATAGGCCGACACCAACGGGTTTTTTAACGGGCCCCGGGAAGTGTGCTGTGTGTAGGCCTAGGCCTTGGCCTAGCAGCTGTGATGTCAGATGCACACAATGCATCTGGTGACCTTGATACATGACTTCAGATTCAAAATTGACAATCAAAAACGAAGTTTGCTTAAATTTAAATATGACATCAAATCAGGTTCCACACAAGCCACTTTGTGTATTTTGATACGCTGATTCCGAAAATGAAATCAATTTTTAGTGGCGATAATTATTTTTAAAATTTTGCATGCAGTCTTATCCCGTGCGGCGGCAAACTTCAAAGGTATTTTGCGTCACAGTTTGGTTCACCAATTCTGACGCGTGTGGGTGTGTGTGTGGGGCGGGGGATGCCGGCGGCGCTGATCGTGGTGTGAGACGCAAGACGTAAAGTCTGTGACGTCACCTACTGGTGTCACTGCTAGTACCGGTACCGGCGGTTCTCTGCACCCAGTACCGAGAAAGTGTCGACACTGGGTTTCGCCGGTACTGCCCAACACTAATCATTATAGCAAATATCAGGTTTTTTTGTGTAGATAATTACAGGCACCGAGTAAATAAAGTATAATGTATTCGACTTTCTAAATCAATGTAGTATTTGGTTTCAAATGAGAGGCATTTTCGTTTCTTTGATATTGATGAAATGCTGGAAAATTCCAGGAAAATACACTGAACTCCACCAAGCACAGGCTGCGCAGAAGGGCTGATTCGTTCAAAGGCACACCTGTGTCATATGTCATCTATCATAACGTATTGTTGGCCAAACAAGTCATGTTGCTGTGAAGAGCTTAACATACGGCAAAGTTTGATTTCACAGTCCAGTGAGCAATTCATCAAGTAGATCTATGTCAAGATAAGCTTATCATTTAAATACTAATCGGGAAAAATAATTTGTGTCGCGTTTCTATCTCTACTGACATTCCAGTCAGATCGCTTACAATTTCTACATTTCTACCTTAAAATTTGACGGATATCTTGGACACTGCTGAGGACCCGTCGAAGCCATTTTCACCGACTTGCAGAGTCATGGCCGCCAGCGATTCTAAGTTAAATAATAGACAATCTTTTGTGTTCCTCTCACTCAAAAAGAGTTCTAATAACCATAGGACGTTCAGCTTTTCAGAATTAGTGCACTTTCATTTAGCATCGATGTTTCGAGGGTTCGCTAAGACCGTTTCTGGAGACGACTGAGGACCCGACGAAGCCATTTTCACTGACTTGCAGAGTCGCGGTCCTAAAATAATGGACAATCTTTTTCGTTCCTCTGGGTCAAAAACATTTGTAATAACTCTAGGAGGACTTTCTTTTTAAAATGAGTGCACATTCATTCAGCATCTGTATTTTCGGGTTTCACGTACACCATTTTCGGAAACTGCCGAAAAAGCGTCAGTAACAGTCTAGTGGCAAAGAAAGTGCCGGTGTTGCCAGTAACAGGGTTAACAGCCAGTGATGGGTTTGTCATGGAACAGGAGACGCAAGACACATGTTGAGACATTTTTGTTGTATACTGGCTATCAAACGAAAGGTACCACAGTTGGTTGCATGAAAAAAATCTAGTCTTCTGAGTCTTTACTCTTTTCCTTTCATGTGAGTAATACTAAGTGGACTAGTAATAATAATAATAATAATAATAATAGATAGCATTTGTATAGCGCATATCCCCGCTCAGCAGCAGGCTCTATGCGCTTTACACTATATTATTACCCCAGCAGACCATATAACACTCCGAAACATTCTCAGCTTCCCGGGAAGCATACAGTGCGAGCAGCCGATTAAGCGCTCAAACACTAACAAACTGACAAGATCTTTCGCTGTCTGTAGCTGGGTACCCATTCCCACCTGGGTGAAGTGAGGAAAATTCGTGTAAAGTGCCTTTCCCAAGGCTGTTGCCAGGATATTCAATGTCAGTTTTTCTGTTACCATTTAATGTCCTGACAACAGCAGAAACGCATGAAGCGCGCCGATGGCTCCATTTCTCTGATGAGTTCAACCTTCCATCTTTCTTGGGTGACAATGATCAAATGTTATTGCCGTTATTGATAAACAAAGACCTAAAATTCATTGAAAAACAAAAAAATAGAAAAAATCCACCACATAGTCGGGCAAAAATGCCAAATTTCTCTTTCTTCATGTTGAAGCTGTGAACACTTACCAAAATATTTTTATAGCATGACCCACGGTTTAGACTACTAGTTATTACTCATGTGAAAGGAAAAGAGTAGAGACTCAAATTACTAGATTTTTCACACAATTAAAAGTTGGTACCTTTCTTTTTATTGCAAACATAGTATGCATTTCACAACATTTACAACACAATAAGGTCATGTAAGTGCAGAAGACAAGGGGTGTTACAAGAGAGTAACAAACAAACAAAAAAGAAGGGGGATAGATAAGGACGATAGATGTTTACTAAGAAAAAAGGAGCAAACCGCATCAGAGCACCCGCCAACCATCCACTACATAATAACAGTAATTGAGAGCTAGAGGAAAGCCAAACAAGGCAGACAGAAACCAAAGAGGGCTAGTAAAGAGGTCAAACCTACCAGTGGCGCCCTCCAACCACTGGCTTGTTTGTTGCAGATGGCCTCATAAAAATAGGAAACTCTTAAAAGATCACTTTTAAGGAAGATCATGTTCTCAGCTTTTAGCACCAGTCTATATTAAGCGAAAACTTGAACAGTGGGAACATACAAACGTAGAGAGAGAAGAAGGGAGAGAGTGAGATAAGTATAGAAAGAGTGAGAGAGAGGGAGGGGAGAAAACAAGCAGAGAGAAAAGAAACCAACTAAGCTCCTTTTCAACAATAAGATGAAAAAAGTCTGTCTATGTTTGCTGTGTCCGTATTTTCAGTTGCGACCCTTACAAAAAAAGCTACTTCAAAGAAGTACTTTTTTTCTTTCATCAATCTGAGCGAATATATATTAGAGAGAACAGATAGAACCCTTGGTAAAAATGTTAAATAATCTTCTCTCTGAGGGAATCAAACTCAATTTTCCAGACAGCAAAGCAAACAGCCTAAAAAATAATACCAAAAACACAAATAGCAGGGATGAAAAAGTCTAGAATCGAGTGTTGAAGTCCCCAAACCGAATGACAAATATTGAGCACAGTAAGTCATTATGAAGAAGATAGAGACAATGATGATGATGATGATGATGATGATGATGATGATGATGATGATGATGATGATGATGATGAGCTTGAGACTTAATCTACAGCTACAAAATAACCATGACAGTGGTTTTTTTGCATACAACCAACAAGTGTCCATCCTTACCCGCCTTCATCTCAGCAGGAACAAACTTGCTGTTGTCGTACTCTGAGGCAGGATTGGTGAAGATAATGGCTGGCTTGTCGGGCCCATCCTCAGGGTTACGAACCATGAACCTATCATTGTGAACACCATCTGAAGGCAGAGAAAACAAAGAGACAACCACAGACTGGAATCATTTTCTTTTTTAGTTTTTGAGAAAAGCGAAGCACATTGACACAGCGATGGCAATCCACAAAGCAAGAAAGAGAAACAGAAACAACCGAGGTAAGGAAAAGACAAATGACCTACGAGCATTGCCCTCTTACTATCCATTAGATTAGATCTCGGTTAGTTTTAGTAAGAGTTTTACGGCACTTGCAACACATTAGGAGGTCATGTATGTCCTGAAAATTAGAGGTGTTACAAGAGAGTAACAAACACAAAAAAAGGAGGAGGAGAGATAAGTAAGATACAGTCCGTGCCGGCCTTAAGCACGTTTCAGACTCAAGCACGCTAAACGGCTCTTACCGAATTTTTGCTATATAAATTACACGCCTTTAAGCACGGTAACTTCGGCTTCAAGCATGCTTCATTTACAAGACAGTCAATATTTTCATGATGACCCATCGAAGTTCGAACACAGTCTACACCGCAGCAGTGGAGTGTGTCAAGAGAAACACAAAGAATGCAAGTGATGGACACACACACTCACACGGGCGGACAGGAAGGCGGAGAGATGCACACAGCCGTGCGCGCGGACATAGGATCTAGCCTAGGCCTAGGGCAAAGCTACACACGACCCCAAAAAAATATATACACTACACACGACCAAAAAAAAAAATTACGAGAGTCGGGGAGACGATAAAGGGAGGCTGGCGGCGATTTCACCTTTGACCTTCTCTATCCATTAATCCTGATTGTGTATCACACGCGAGATGGGATGAAGGCAGTGGTATGAGTGGCACAGCGGGCAGTGAGTGGTATGCACAGGCAGTGTTACAGTAGGCCTAGTGTGCTGTATTGTGACTGGCAGTCTAAATATTAAGTTTTCATTTCCCATTCGACCACAAAACAAAAACAAACAAGCGAACAAAAACTACCATGGCGGGTGTCTAAATAATAGTGCACACTTTTGGGGGACCGCTATAGGCCTACTTACAAACTAAGGGAAATAGCACGTGGAATTTTCTACATGAAAATCTCTGGATTATGTCTACTTCGCACTTAAACACGCTTTGGCTTCAAGCACGCTTAAGCTTTCTCCCAATGACCGTGCTTAAAGCCGGCATGGACTGTAGATAATTGATAGGAAAGAAGGAGTAAACCACACCACATCATCCGCCAAACACCCACAGGCTGGCTCTTGAATTACACATTATCACTATAACTACAACATGTAGCAAAGGAAGCACAGATACATGACATTTGACATCTACAAAAAAGCACAGATTTACTTTCATCATACAAATGCATCATGCTTGAAGAAAAACCCCAATAAAAAGGGATGAATCAGAGCAAAGTCTTGCCTCTTTAACCAAAAATAATACCTCATCATACATATATCAAATGTGCTCTTGCACTTTTCGCGGGAGCCACTTTGTAGACAGCAGCTTTGTCGACAGCTTACTTTATTTTTACTTGTTCCAGCCTGTTACCTTGTGGTGCTAAGGGAAAAAGTAAACATCTCACTCTTGTTTATTGTATCGCCTGTCGCGAGGATATGTCGTTCTTAATTTCTCTGACCCCCTCTATCCATCTTTCCTTGGGCCTGCCCTCTACTGTTTCCACCAGCTTTCTGGTTGCATAAGTATGCTCCTCCTGCTATGCTGTCTTGTGGTTGTCATGTTAGGTGCCTAAACCATTTAATTCCTTGTCTATGTTCGGTAAGCAAGGAGTTTGGCCAACTTGTTCTTTGATGGTCTCGTTCACTAGCACACTATTCATTTTCACCAATTAGGAGCCAATATCTGTACTCAGTCAAAAATAATTCTTGAAAATTAAATGGTAAGTACATCTTCCACTTATGAACCTGAAGTCAAATGCTCTTAAAATTGCATATGAACAATTAAAAGAAATTATAAATCAGGTTTTTACACCCTATGCTATTTCGATTGATAGGAAATTGGCCAAAGTCCAAAGTTTTCTCTTTTACAAAACTCAAATGAAAATATCTCACCAATGAGACACTCACAGGATGCAAAAAAAAATTTTTTAATTCACTAGTATGTACATTCAAGCAGAAGCTTTTATATATATGCTTCCGTTAAATAGAGGGGTGCTTTAATGTGAGTGCTTTCAGGTTACCTGAATCATGAACACACACAGTTTCTTCACTCTGGACATTTAACCCCCCCCCCCCCCCCCCCCCCCCATATTGATATATATCTAGAGTCTTTCAATCTAACTAGAGTAGAACCTGCTCAAACGATCACCTGTCCATGACAAACATCTGTACAAACAAACGTTTCCCACTTTTTCCCTTGCACTTTTTAGATATCATAATGATCCTGTGCAAGACATACACCTGTCTAGGACAAACATTGTTCTTTATGACAATGAGTGGCTTCCTTGGAAAGTTTTGAGCGTATTATATGTATGCATTTCAAACCGAATGATGCTCACTAGCTCTGTAATTTTGTTGGAAAAAAAAAGCAACAAACAATACATCCATGTGTCCCAGTGTCAAAGCATTACAAGTGAGTCAGTCCCGTTAGCAGGGTATCAAACTGTTTCCCTATGTAACTGTTGTACCTAACTATCTTCTCAGCCTCAAAATCTACAGAAATCGTATTAAAAGTAAAATCAGCATTGAAGTAAAAATCCTTGTTTTAAAATTTACTTGACAGAGCTACATACATTTTAAAAAACGACACTAATATCTATAGCGAGCTGTTAGTTGCTTTGCTATTGCACACAGGTGACCCAAATTTGATTCCCCGAATGGGAAGGATTGTTTATATCAAATTTATCAGTCTTATTGTTGGTTTGTTTGGTCATGACAGGCAGGGTCTGAAGCCCGTCTCCCACATAACCCAAATTGTGTCAACGGGGTGTGAAAACACCTACATTTTTTAAAAAGCCAACCTTATGAGAAAGTTTTGAGCATATTAGCAATGCCAATGAAAATTTAATTATTCACTTTAGCCCTTTTTTATTTGGTACCTAAGAAAGAATTTTCAATTCTAAGAATTATGCTTCTTGAATTTTAAGAATC